ATCTCCTCCTGGATTATGGGGGCTTCACTCATCTCCCCATCACCAAATTCCAGTTCTGGGAGCTTGGTATCCTGAGGATGAATCTTGATATTGAAGACTAAGGCAAAGAAGGCATTAAGTACCTCTACCTTTTCCTCATTCCCTGACACTGCACTAGTCTCTGCAGATTATGGAGACACTCCTTGACCCTACTTTTGCTGTCAATATATTTATAGAAACTCTTTTTGTTGTCTTTAGCTGTAGCAGCAAAATCAAGTTCTAGTTGGGCTTTGACCCTTCTCATCTTCTCCATACATGACCTTGCATCATCCTTGTAGTCCTCACAAGTTACTTGACCCTCCTTCCAGAGATGATAGATTCTCTTTTTTTCCCTAAATTCCAAACTAAGTTCTCTGTTTAAGCAGGCCAGTCTTTTGCCCTGAAGACTTATCTTTCTACATGTGTGGGGACAGCCTGCTCCTGAATATTTAACAATTCCTTTTTAAAGCACATCCAGCACTCCTGGATTCCTTTGCCCTTCAGAACTGACTCCCAAGGGACTTTACCAATGAATGTTCTAAAGAGGCCGAAGTCTGCTTGCTGGAGATTCAAGGTGGAAGTTCTGCTGGTGCTCTTCCTTACTGCACCCAGTATTGAAAAATCTAACATTTCCTGTTCGCTATGCCCAAGACGGCCACTAACCACCACATCACCCACCAGTCCTTCATTGCTCAGAAACAACAGGTATACTAGAGCACCTCCTCTAGAAAGCTTATTTACCAGTTATGTTAGGAATTTTTCTTCCACACACTCCAGGAACCTCTTGAACTGCTTCCTCTCTGCTGCACTGTATTTCCAGCAGACAGCCAGCAAGTTGAAGTAACCCACGAGGACAAGGGTCAGCAAGCATGAGACTTTTGTCAGCCATTTGTACAATGCCTCATCAGCCTGTTTGTCCTGGTTGGGTGGTCTGTAACAGATTCCCACCCTAACGTCTGCTCTGCTGACCTTTACCCATAGGCACCCAACCTTGTCATCTTGATCATCATCAATTTCAACAATCAAAACACTTCCCAATGTACAGTGCTACTCCACCACCTCTCCTGCTTTGCTTGTCTCTTCTAAAGAGCTTATAGCTATTCATTGTAGCACTCTAGTTGTGAGAGTCATCCCACCACATTTCTATGATAGCGACTACATCATAACTTTCCTGCTGTACAGTGGTTTCCAGCTCCTCCTGCTTGCTGGCCATATGGAGTGCATTGATGTAGACGCACTTCAAATGGGCTAATGGTTTTACCTCCATCCCAGGTGTGCCAGCTCTAGGCTCATCTTTAGTGAGCCTGGTCTTACCCTCTTCCCCCTTTGAACCTAGACTTCTCAATCAGCCCTGCTAACTCCTGGAACATAATTTCTATGAACCTATTTGACTGAGCTAAGAAAAATATTTATGGGGTAGGTGTGTTGCAAAGATTTGTTCCATATTGCAACTGAAGTGGTTTTTTGAAGATAATTATCATGTCACATGTGGTGTCTCAGAATTTAACCATACTGACATTTCAGAATTCACCAGTGTACGTAATGGTTAGATGACTGACAGGGTGGAGTGACAAGATGCTATCAGACTTATTTTGTACTAGCTCTAGTCTAGAGGAAAATAAAAGTCTTACACTGAGGAAACAGTAATTACCGCTATTCCCTCATTTTCAAACACTGAGAAGGGATGGCAGTTTTCTTAATTGTTGCAAAAATATGTTTGAAAGAAACCATCTCAAAATTCATGAGAGGAAGACAGAAAAGAATTGATGTTTCTGAAATAAGAAAGTTTTCATAACAGAAAAAAATTATCAGGTGGTATTTTAACAACTGTTTTAGCACAGATCTCAATGTAGTATGTGAAAAGATGACATGATCTCATTTATAGATTTCTTTTGTTTCTTTGATTACAGTTAGAAGAAAATACTTAATAAAATGTGTTCTACAATAATTTTAATTGTTAACAAGCAGTGCTCTCTGAAAATAGCTTTATATATACAGCTGTACTTGTATACAATATGTACAGAAACACAGTAACAGACACTTCCAAAATGTGCATATTGGGCTAGCAATACACCTAGTAAAGCTCCAGACAGATTAACTGATTATGGCACATCACGCTACAAGAATTTGAGAAGAGCTATATACAATTTAGGTTGCTTACTTAAAACGGACTTTGAGTATTAGGCCTGGGAAATAATGAACCAAAACCGTGCTGATTTCCTGACAAGAAGAAGTTATAGTCTACCTCGGAACACCTTCCCTTCGCAACAGAAAGGAACATAAAGTAGCTTGCAGTTTGGCCAGAGAGCTGGCTCATGTTGTCCGTAACACACACAGCACTTTAAGATGCTGAGTAAACAGTACACATCAAACATAAGCACTGAATCTACTACAAATTAGATTATTATTTTTCCAGTAGGGCACCTGTATCATCTGGTAATGTCCACATCAGACAAATGCATTTAGGAAATAAAGAACACAATGGATTTAGAAGTCCTGTGAAGTGCTATGCCGTGCAGAATGACTGCCAAACAAAATGAGGAGCTGAGAACCAGAAAAAAAAACCAGCAAAAATAAATGGGAAACTTGATTGCAGTCAGTGATCAGCACTGAGAACTGACAAAGGAAGATTAAGCTTTTGTGTTTTGCAGGTATAAAATATTTGTGAGTAAAAAGGATTTGAGACTGATCAGAAGTGCAGAATCCAAAACTTTGGGAACACCAGATCGCAGACTACCATTCCTCAACCACGACAGGATGACAGTTTCCTAAACCATTACACATAGATTTACAAGTTCGAATCAACTGACTCCTTTGTGTAAAGTCTTCCAAGGAGGCACTGGAGCCACAGGGCAACTGCAATCAGGTAGGGCAGGTAGTATGGAGCTGATCTATACTGAACTTCATAGGTTTTCTCATTTGAATGCTGCACACATACATTACACCACCCTATAAGTCCATCCAACTGGACTATGCCAGATGACATTAAGAACTTCAATCTGTTACTTTCCCTGTTGAGTGGTAACAGCTGGAGATTTTTTTCATAGAATCACAGAATCATAGAATCAGATGGGTTGGAAAGGACCTCTGAGATCATCACGTTCAACCTTTGATCCACTACCACCATCATTACCAGACCATGGCACTAAGTGCCACATCCAGTCTCGTCTTAAAAACCTCCAGGGACAGAGAATCCACCACCTCCCTGGGCAGCCAATTCCAATGCCTGATTACCCTCTCTGTAAAGAATTTCTTCCTAATATCCAACCTAAACCTCCCCTGGCAGAGCTTAAGACCATGCCCTCTCGTCTTACTGATAGCTGCCTGGGAAAAGAGATCAACCCCCACCTGGCTACAACCTCCTTTCAGATAGTTGTAGAGAGTAATGAGGTCTCCCCTGAGCCTTCTCTTCCCCAGGCTAAACAACCCCAGCTCCCTCAGCCTCTCCTCACAGGACTTGTATTCAAGTCCCTTCACCATCTTGGTAGCTCTTCTCTGGACCTGCTCCAGCACCTCAATATCCTTCCTGAAGTGAGGGGCCCAAAACTGGACACAGCACTCCAGGTGTGGCCCCACCAGTGCTGCGTACAGAGGAAAAATCACTTCCCTGGACCTGTTTGCCACAGTATTACTGTGGCAAACAGGCCACGATGGCATTGGCCTTCTTGGCCAGTTGGGCACACTGCTAGCTCATGTTTTCTCAGATAATTGGCTAAACTATGTGCAGATTACATCAATTTAACTTCTTGCTGCTTTAAAAATTAAAAAAAAAAAAGGGTATAACTAGTCTTACAGACAGGGGAATTGAGAAAGAAATTTTGAACTTCTGATGGTTCCACAGTTACAAACAGAACTAAATAAGTGCAAGTGCATAAACAAGGACAAAAGGAACAGGGAGCTGCTACACTGCATTAGCACTTCAGCTTTTGAAATTATAAGGCTAGAAACTAATTCTGAAATCCAATCTTAATTTCTGGTGTACTTTCTAGTGTTCACCTTAGACAAGTCACTGCAGAAGTACAGGATACAGTGTTGTGACAGAGAGATCTATGCTGGAGCAGTTCCATCCAATTTCAAAGAAAAAGGTCTTTAAAATTACATTTGGCTCATGAACTGGCCATAACAAAATAATTCCACAAGGTGCCCTTATCTGCCATTATTGCCCTTTCTCCTAAGAAGGACACTGTGAGCATTTTCTTTCTGAAGCTCAGACACGAAACAAACCCTGCCCCAGCTAGCCTCTCACTTGGCTTGGGAATAATTATTCATCTGACACTGTGCAGCTGTGTAAGGGGGAAATCAGCTCTGACTCCCCCTCAGAAGGTTTTATATTAACAGCCTTGTATGAGTAGCAGCAACAGGTTTCAGTCTTTGTGCCTAGTTGACTACCTATGTTGGCATGTGAACCGATAAAAAAAATTTAAAAATATATATTATTTTAGAGCTGAACTTCTTGCTTTCTTGAGATCTAAAGGGCAGTTTTGCAAGCTTTGTATGAGGTATCCCTACCATAGATCCGTGACTGAAAAAAGAGCAGTAAATCCTCCTAGAAAATTTGTTCTGGACATGATGGTAATTGGTACTAGAGCCTCACACAGCATTCCCAGTTGTTTTAATCCCAGGTCTGCACTGTATCTTGAAAATGTCCTCCTAGGAATAACGACAAAGATGTATGCTGTCCATGGCACTGGAATGACTAACAGAAAATGACTAAACAGAATGACTAAACAGAAAATCCTCCTTTTAGGCAGATCAGATAGGATTTTCAGAAGTGCATTAACTATTTATGCCTGTGGGCCTTCAGGAAAAGAAAAACTGTCAGATTTTCAACAGTACTGGAGCCTTGTTGAGACTGGTATGGTGTGTGCATGAAGAGTAGATCTAGTAGCATAAAATAGAATCACAAGGTAATTAAAATTGGAAAGGACCTCTAGGATCATCAGATTCAACCATTATCCTAGCACCACCATGTTCACCACTAAACCATATCCCCAACTGATACATACACATAGTTTTTGAACATTTCCAGGGATGCTGATGCCAGCACTTACCTAGGTAGCCTATTCAAATATGCCTGACCACCCTTTCAGTGAAAAATATTTTCCTCATATCCGATCTAAACCTTCTCTGATGCAACTTGAAGCCATTTCCTCTCAGCTTGTCATTTATTACTTGGAAGAAGAGGCTCACCCCCACGTGGTTTCAATTTCCTTTCAGGGAGTTGTAGAGACTGACAAGGTCCCCCCGAGCCTCCTTTTCTCCAGACTATACAATCCTAGCTCATTCAGAAACTCCTCATAAGACATGTGCTCTAAACACAGGAAGCAAACAGCTGGTACTGATCAACCAATGCCAGCTACTCATGCCAGCTACCCATGTTTGATTAGCTGGGGGTTGTTTCAGACTAGGACTTGTCTGGCCCCATGGTCTGGATGATCATTAGTGACCAGAGTATGTTGAGTGTGCTCCTGCAGGGCATCCGTCAGTTTGGTTTTGTCTGGTATTAATCTGGGTTTTGCACTTTGAGACTGTTCTGAGCTGTATGAAGACTTGCTACAGAACTTGTGTGAAGTAGCCACTCCAAATTTCACTTTTTTGAATGTTTGAGCCTCCCAGTACACTTAGCATCCTTCTTAGCTGTGTACTGATATGAACAGTTAGCAGCAAATATATAGCATGCAGAAACTCTAAACCAATGGTGCCATAGCCTTAACAGTTAGAGAAATGAGCTTTCAGACACTGAGTTATAGAAAACCTGCATGATGCACACATTTTCCATTTGATATGTTAACCATGAAAAGAATGACATTTTAACAGATAAACTTCTGACCTTAGCAGCAAACAGAATGCTCAAAGAGTAAAATCTCATCATGTATGTCTACCAAAGTGAACAAACAAGGTGGATTTAAATGAGGTAAAGACCCGGCACTCAATACTTGAATATTTTTTTTTTATCTGAAACTAGAATCTATGTGTTGAAATGGCCCTTTAATTGAGTTCAAAATGCCTAACAGTCTTAATGAGCAATGTTTGTAAATACCACACAGCTAAAATAACACAAAATCTATTAGAGTAGAACATAAGCCTGGATCAATATTCAGTTGAAAATACATATTTTTCAGATCAGAAAATCTATACTTTTTGAAGCAATATTATATCAGATACTCTGCTTTCCTTTAGGTTAAACACATACTAGCATCTCCTTTAAAGTACAGTGTAACACCAGTCAGTTTTGGTTTCTCAATAGAATGTACTGTTCATTTCTATCTACGAGTCAGAGTAGGTGTGAGATAACTTCATACTGGCCAGACTTTGAGAGATCCTCTATTCTGAGAACTCAGAGCATCTAATCACAAGAGCCAAAAGTGAGTTACAAACTGCAAATAAAATGTTCAAATTTGTTTCACAGTCAAAAATCACACATATTAAATCATAATGACATTTCTTGTTTCAAGTTGTGCCCATTCAGTTGTGTCATGGTAGTTACTGTGTTCCTGGTATTGCTTTTCAGGGAAGTCATTTGAATGGCAGAAGAGTTGCGCAAGTAGCTGGCAGATCTCTCTTGCTGAGCTTTCTTCCTGCAGCAAAGCTGGTTGTTGAAATGCCTTCTGAAACTCTCACTGAGAAAATACAGTGCAAATGGGTTGACACAAGAGTTGCAGAAGCTTAGCACTCGGGCCACTAAGGTAACAACCATATGTCCTGTTGATGGATCAATCTTATTGTAATGAAAAGATCGGTACATGTATAGCACATGATTAGGAAACCAGCAGATAGCAAAGAAGCCGACAAAAACTAGAACAATTTTTGCCAGACGTTTTCGAGTTTCCATCTAAAAAGATGAAGAGAACCCAAATGAACAACAACAAATAGAACTACTCCACATAACAGATTTAATTAAAACATGTAGCATTTTGCTTTATATTAGCTTCAACAACTATCATAAGTAAGGCCAGTAAAAATGCTTCCTTCAGGGGCTGGATTACTTGTTCTGTCTCATTTACTTTCACACTTTCAGTTTATTTTCATTGAAAGATCCTAGCTGTTTGCAGTTACACAAGGTTGCTCTTTCTATATGATATATGCAACAAGACTGATTCATGACCCAAGGAAACACTGGCTTTTAGCCTGAAAGCAAGCACCAATGGATGTAATGAATCATAATCTTTTCTGATGAGCTCTCAGTACTTGGCTTGAAACTTAAGTTTTAGTTAGAAAGCTATTTAGAAACTGTTGGCTTTAAAATCTAGAGCCATTGTGAGTGAAATATAGAGACATTACTAGGGCGTTAGTTATTCAATATATATATGTATTTATATCCCACTGTTTTTCCTGAGTGCCTCAGCTCAGATTCTCCTAGAGAAACCACCAGAGCTGCATTACACAGTAAAAAGCATCTTAATTACAGAGTAAGGTGAAAGGTTCCATTAAATCTTAAATAATGAAATGTACCTTAATTTGAGTACTAAATTATAATGGATTACAGTGACGCTGTTGAGACTGGCTGAAAATTTGGCAAGATATGAGCCTACACAATGGATGCAAAGTGAGAGAGAGAGAGATAAACTGGCCATGTAGAAGGCACCAAAGAGAGACAGAAAGTTTCTTCATATTCCTCCTGAAAGATTTATTATGTATATGAGGTATGAAAGTTTTGCAAATGCAGGAAAGCTTTCCAGCTCTACTCAATTTTCTGGGGAAAAAAAAAGAAAAGAAGCAAATTTATTCTAACAGAGTTTCAAAATTTATTAAAATAATCCTTGTGAAAAATTTTGTGAAAAAATCCTGTCTCTATCTACAAAAACCAGTGGGGAATTCCCAAAAGATGGGAAAACTCTAACATTTCAATTTGGTAGCATTCGCACTCAGATTGCAAGAGCAAACTAAAAGGTGCAGAGGTATAGAGTAAATTTTACGCTTGGCCTGAAGAAACATGATTTGATAGCAATAGTCTGAATTTATTTCCTCTTGCTAGGAGATATGTAAGTATAGCGGAATTTTCTATTCTTCTGAGCCTCATAGATTAACAAAAAGCAAAAAAAACCACATAGAATGAAAAAAATATGTTCTTACTTTGAAAATACATGTCAGTTCAGAAATGTGATATAAGTTTTTTTTTCCATCTAGAGAGTTCAGCCAAAAGGCTCTCTATATTTCACAAGAAAATAAAACAATACCTGAAGTGCCAATATGTATGCACTTTTGACAAGAAACAGACTAGAGTAGAAATGAAATGCTGCTCAAAAAGGACATGAGGGAATGTAGTCTTTCCTTTAAATGAATATGTACATACTATATATGCAAGGAGATTTCAGTTAGTATGGAAGTAGTTCTACAAAATACTGGAAGAGAAAATCATTCAAAATTGTTTTTTAAAAAGCTTTGTCTCAAAGGTATATAGAATCTATACCAAGAGTTTTATAGCATCTATAATACAAAGGATATTAGGAAAGTGTGAGTTCAGGATTATATCCAAGGAAGATCTACTGAGAAAGTAAAAAAAAATAATCAGTTAATGCTCTGTGTTCATCTTTTCAGCACATCTTGATCTGAGAAGACCTTAGATCCCTTATGTAAATTTTCCCTGCATATGTCAGTTTTCTCATTTCCAAGTACAAATAAAAGAGGGACAATTATCAAATGTTCATGTAAGATTTTTTTCCCAAAATGGTTGCCTATAGAGATAGGTGAAGCCACTAGCATTAACTACAAAAACATCATTCTATAGTAAGAACACAAATAATGGTTACATTAGCTGCACATCCAAGCACATGTACCAATGTCATTTACTGTTAGGAATGTGCACTGATGGCACTGAATTTATATTTTTCCTTGTTCATATTAATTTACATACTGTGCCAAATACTGAGTAATTGTGAAAACGAGGAGATTTTTCAGATAATTCTTGTCTTAGTTCATGTGGAAACTGAACTAATCCTCTGCAAAATCCAACAATTTGGGTGTTATAATTCCTTTATTTTCATTTGTAAGTGTATACCACACACAGATCTTTCAACAGGATGTAAAAAGCAAATTGCTTACCTGTCTTTTGGAATGCTCACTGTATTCTCCAGGGATGTTGTGAGCACTTTTTATTAAACTCTTTGCAATATGATAGTAGTAGATACTAATAATCACAAGAGGGACAAGGAAATACACAAGGAAAAGCAGCACAGAATGGATCTTTGGGTGCATTTCATCTGTTATGGGGTATGGTATGCACGCTGTGAAAGTGGCATTATCTGTGTCATTGATGTGAGCCAGTTCGGAGAACACTGCTTCAGGAACTGCTAGGAGCATGGAGATTATCCAAATGGCAGTGGCTTTAAGACAGGTCCATAGCACTGCACTGGAGGTCTGGATGTCCATGGGATTTACAATTGCTTTGTACCTGAAATTGATCAAAATGCAGATGCAAATTAAAAGGTATTCAAATTCAACATGTGATGCACAAGATCACTTCATACTTTTGATTAAAATAACGTTATGTTTTGCTCTTATTTTAAATGTCAAGTGGCTTGTAATCTTTCTTAAATTTGCATTCTCTAAATCTCTACCTCAATTAGTATACATATTCATCAGAGGTGAAAGGAGGCACAGCAATCTGCAGCTGTAGGTGCCCACTCCAAGTCAGTGTGGTGGAAACCCAGAATCAGTCATGACTCTGCTCTTTCTTTCTCCAAATACCCCCCAGCAAATCCCCAAATGCACATCCTACCTCTGTACTTCCACCTTCCTCTTGTACCACCACATGCACACTTAGCACTTCCTTCCTTCCACAGCTTTTGAAGCCCAGGGCTCTTTCCTGTCCACCACCACAGCTTTCCTAGTCTAGGACAGCCCCAGTCCTCCTCAGAGGAATACATGCATCTCCATAAAGTCAGGCAGAAATTACTCCCAATGTCCTGAAAGTATTAAACTCTTACATAAAGTAAACATCTCCCCACCCATAGTTGGAAGCTGCTGCTCTATACTGCATTTTGGAAAACTGTCTCATAAAATATGATTACATATATACCTTTGTGGAATTGCTAATTTCATACCCCTAACAATGAAAACAGGAAGAATTGCAGAGAATGGAAATATCACTCTACAGCAAAGTAAAGTAAACAAACAGAGATAGACTCTGGTCAGGAATTATTTTATTAAACAACATCGTTTCAGGAAGTGATAAAAATTGAAATTTTCCACAAGAAAATGTACATGCTGAAAGGGCAAGTATACTTTGAGAAAAATTTATCAGGAATGCCTAATTTTTTTTTAGATTTTTAATTTTGTTTTTAATGTAAGTAAATTATGCTTTAATGTTTTCATTAAAAACTAAACCTTAAACAGAATATTTCAGTTTGTCTAAAGGACAGTAATTTGGACGGTTGCTTTGTCTCATAAGGGTTTTTTTAACTTTCTCAATTTTTTTGGTTTTATTTTCAATGTGATTTGAAATGGTTGGGTTTTTTTCTGAACCTGCAGAAGTTTTGAGAATTGGGAAAAATATTCTTTAATATCTAAGGGAAAATTTTACAAGAACCAAGGAGTCAGGAGAGATTCATACTTCAGGTACATAACTTTATCCATCGTCAGGTCTTTTTAGTCAGTGGAGATACACTTTCAAAGAGTGATTCAGATTTCATGTGTATTAAATCACACTCTGAGGTGTTTATTTTTCTCTGTTAGCTATACAGTGAGATTAGACTGAGAACTCTAACTTAGGTGCCTATCACTGCGATAAAACTCCATATCCAAGTATCTAGATACATATACATGCATACAGACATTTAAATATGTATGGGTATGAGCAGGGGTCTAAATACATATCAACGGTTAGTTTATAGCCAAATAGTCGCTGAAGGGACTGCTGGGAAATGGAGCTGTGATTCCAGATATCCTTTATGGCTAATTTGCAGTTCCTGACAGGTAGCTCATAGTTTCTCAACACCATGAACAGATATTTGATGAACTTTGGATTAAAGTTCCACACAGCAACTTTGAGTTTGCTGGCAATCAGCACTGCAACCGGCTATGCCATGAAAATGTCTGGAGCAGAGCACTGAATTGCTACCCTATTCTTCTGAGAATATTTGAGTCAAAATGTGCCTTGGAGTCCTCTGTCTAAAAATTCTGATAATTTTTTTTATCACTAAATAATTCAAAATAATGGTTATTTATGTGCATATCTTCCCTGAATTCAGAAAGATTTTTACTGTGTCTTCGCCCATATCATGCAGTAGAAAATGAAACTCAGCAAACTGTCTTTGTTAATTTATGTTTACCATTTCTGCTAACACAGAATGAGAAACTCCCGGATACCAAGGTGTAAAGAAATCCTTTATACTGCCATAGGAAGGACAGAAGCTTCTTTGCAAAGCATGAATACAACCCAAACAAACTGTGACCTTATTATTCAATAATTGCTTCCTATTGCTGTCCACCTTGATTTCATTACACAGAGACAGACCCTCCATTTCATTCAACTAATGTGACATCAAGTCCTTACATCTGCTCATTTTTAAAAAACTGTACGTTCTTTGGGAAGAGCTGGTTTGGGGTCTTTGGGACGAGCTGGTTTGGGGTCTTTGGGACATGGGGAGGGCACTGGACAAAAATAATATATTGTACTACAGTTTATTTTTAGCTCTTCTTTCCCATTGCATTACCTCAAACTATTTTGGCCACAGCCCTATGACCCAAGACAATGACCATATCACAAATAATTGTTCTAGCATTTGATGTAGTTACCCTCTAAATGGAAGACCTTTTCAGAGTTGTCACATTAGCAAAAGGTGTGGCATATATTTATACTTTGGCATATATTGCTGTTTCAGCAAATAGCATGCTTTTCGTTGAGCTATAAGTTGGAAGGCACTGGAGCAAAGTGCCCCTTTTTATAAACAGCTGAGTTTAGTACAAAAAAAACTTCTTCTATTTTACTTGCTACTTTACTGACTACAAAGTGTCCCTCTTCTTCCTAGGGCTCAGCCCTTCACAGTACTCAGTGTCAACAAGAAGAAAAAGGCACTAAGTGCTTTACAAAATCTGTCATCTTGTTCATATCTTTGCAAAGATATAGAGTAGAAAGAGACATGTTACAGATACAATCAAATAGAAACTGAATGAAATGTGTTCCCAAAGTGAACATACAACCTCTTCCTTTGTATAAAACCAATGTAATGTTAAAACATACCACCAACCATTCAAATTAAAAAGAGCATATTTTCTGTCAATTAAAAAAATCAGTAAATTGAACAAGGGTGCAAATTAGTCAAATTGTTAAGTAAATCCATCTTTTCCTTTACTTCACTGATGGAAAAAAAGCAAATTATAGATTTACATGAAACTCAGAGAACATTCATAAATATGCATTTGGTTTTAATAAGAAACCTTCATGTAAATTGTCTTCCTATATCCTTTATCATTCTGACCGCTGACAAAGGGACCCCAATTCAGGAAACCCTTTCTTTAGAGCTGTGGTTTTTGCCAACAGACACAAGCACAAACTTGCCCATTCTCATTCTGCAGATTGGTTTTGTTGTATAATGTTTTTTCACAGGAAAGCAATCTCCTCTGTTCTATACAACCCCCAAAAATTGATGAAAACAATATCCTCTTCCTCCAGCATTATAACATGTTGCTACCTTATAAACACCAATCTATTTTATCTATTTCTCCTAACCTTTGTTTTCAAAGCTCTTTGTAAAGGTACTTATCAGCTTCAAACTAGAATGGAAAGCTCTGTTC